AGATAGATAGATAGATAGATAGATAGATAGATAGATAGATAGATAAACAGATAATTTTTCCTTGAGTTTTCTGGAGTCCGCAGAGAAGAAAAAAGCACGGGTGAGATGTGAGGGAAGAAAGGGGGTCACGTGACTATCTGGAAAGCGTGTGTAGGTGTGTGGCGGTAAGAAGCCACACAAGGAGCCAGGGCAAAGGTTCTGAGGTGAGGCCCCTGCCTGATGGCTCCGGGAAAGAACAGGGATGTCTGCGTGGCTGGGACTCGTTGAATGAAGGGCAGACTGAGGAGGAGGAGGCGGTCCGGGAGGTGGAGGGATCAGCCATGCAGCCCTGAGAAGGCTCTCCTGAGGTCATAGGTGTCTTGACCGACCAGGGCGGGCTGCTTGGAAAGCTCCTGCTCCTCGGTTGTGGGGCTGCCAGGGAGGGGGCCCAGTCTCAGGGCCGCGGACAGCCTGGCTGCCCCTGTCCTTGGTGCTGAGTTGGCGGGATGGCGGGCCTTGCGGCTGGTCCCTGCTCAGACACCCATCAGGAAGGGATGGCCTCAGGCGGAAGGCGCAGCTTGTTCTCCGGCCCTCCAGCGCTGCGAGCTCGGCTCAGGGGCAGGCCGTGTGCCTGGTGTGGGAGAGGCTGAGTCCCATCCCAGGATATGATGTCTGTGCCTGGGCACACGAGGCACACTTGTAACCCACTCGCCTGGGAGAGGAGGGCGGTAGGATCAAAAACTCAAGGCTGTCCTCAGCGATACAGCGAGTTGGAGGCCAGCCTGGGCTGCCTGAGACAAAGCTGGGCAGCTACGGGCTGCAAAGATCGGAGTTTGGTCTCCGGAACACAGGTCAAGTGGAAGGAAGAGAACAAGATAGACAAGGTTCTTCTCTGGCCTCCACATGCTTGCCATGGGTGGCTCCCCAATCACACACACACACACACACACACACACACACACACAGACACACACACACACACAAACTTTTAATGAACCAGTGGGGGCAGACGAGAGCTCAGCAGATCAAACGGCCGGCCACCAAGCCGAAATGACAGCCTGAGTTCAAATCTCAGGGCCCACACGATGGAAGGAGGGCTCTGACTCCCGCTCCCACAGATCATCCTCTGCCTCTTGTGCACCATTACAGTGCCCACAGGCACCCGCAGGTACCCATAAAAACGAATAGGAAAGATTCTAGAGAGATGGCTGCTTTAGAGGTCCAGATCTAATCCAAGCACCCACGGAACAGCTCACAGCTGGAACTGCAGTTCCTGGGGACCCGACTCTTCTGGTGGCTGTCTGCAGGCGGCAGGCACACGTATGAACAGGCATGCAGGTAAAACAGCCGTAAGCAGAACATACAGATAAGCAATGAAAGAATGTCAGGGCCTGGAGAGAGGGCCCTCAGAAGGGAATAGCACTGGCTGCTCTTCCAGGGGACCTGGGTTTGATTCCCAGCATCCACACAGTGGCTCACAACCATCTGTAACTCCAGTTCCAGGGGCTCTGATGCTCTCTTCTGGCCTCCATGCACATTTGTGCTGCACAAATCTACAGATGGACAAAATACTCATACACACAAAAAAATTACACAATACACACACACACACACACACACACGAAAAGCAAATGGTAGCCAGGCCTAGTGCTGCAGCCTGTAACCCCAGCTGCTTATGAGATTGAGACAGATGGGTCATGAGTTCGAGGCTTGCCTAGGTCAAGTTCAAAGCCAGCCTAGGCACCTTAAGGAGATGAATGTCTCAGTTTAAAAAGTCAAAATGTTGCAGGCGGCAGCAGCAGCAGCTGCAGTGGTGTGCATCTTCGGTCCCATCATTCATTTGGGAAGCAGAAGTGGGCAAAATCTCTCCAGGTTTGAGGCCAGCCTGGCCTACAGAGTGAGTTTCAGGAGAGCCAGGGCTACGCAGAGGAACCTTGTCTTGGAAAATGAAATAAAATAAAAATTTAAAAAGCAAGATAAGCACGGAGGGAGTCTGGAGAAGCAGCCCAGGCGTTAGCAGTGAGTACTGCTCTTGCGGAGGACCTGGACGCAGTCCCCAGCCACCAGTCACACGGTGTCCCAGTTCTGACTTCTGAGGGCACCGGGCTTATGTGGTGCACACAACACACGCAGGCGAACACGTACAGACATAAAATAAAATAAGCAAATGAAAAATTGAAGTGGGGAAGGGCAAAGAGGGCAGGGTGTATGTAGCTCGGTGTTAGGATGCTTGGCTTATTGAGCACACGTGGGGCCCTGTGCTGTCCTCGGTGCTGAGGAGAAGGGAGGAAGGAAGAGCCCAAATCAGCAAACAGCCGGACAGACAGAGCAGAGCCAGACGGAGCCCTCAGAGCCAAGTCTTCTGGGCAAGGAGGAAGAAGTGCAAAGGCCCTGTGCTCAGTGTGCTCCTGTGAGTGGGGGGGTTTGTGCGCTTTCGGCTGAGCAGCGTCAGGTTGTGTGTCTGGGTCTGGGGCTGAAGCAGCCTGCTTCCCAGACCAGTGTCAGCGTGCTGAAGATGGATGGACACTTGTGTGGAAAATGTCAGTCACAGCAGTCATTTCAAGATGTGCCCGTGCCCGTGTGTGTTTGTGTGTGCTCGTGTGTGTGTGTGTGTGTGTGTGTGTGTGTGTGTGTGCCTGTGTGTGCGTGCACGCGAGCGTGCAAGGAACGGTGCGGAGTGTGAATGTGGGGCTACTGTAGGGAAGGCTTTGTCAGGGCTGGGCTGTGTGTGTTAACGGAAATCTGAACAGGAATATATGCAAAGTGCCATGGTGTGTGTGCAGGGTGTAGGGGTGCCCAGCTGTGTGTGTGGGTGTCCTGGGGGATGTTGTGGAGCTGTTTGCTGTCCCCAGAGGGAGAGAGTAAGCCCAGGAAATCACAGTTCCGCCCTGTCCCTGCGTCTCCAGGCAACAGCTACCACTTTGAAGTTACTAGGAGACAAGGTTTCCAGGGAAACGCAAGCTTAAGTGACAGCTCCAGAGCCACGTCTGGGTGAAGAGACTGGCTGAGCAAGCGGGGTCACTCCTCTGGGTGCCCATCACTCTTCCCTCCTCCATCCAAAAATTTAACAAGAGCCGAAGTTCCCCAGTGTGGTCTGCAGACTCTCACGGATGAGGCAACCAAGACCCTCATTCTCTCCTCATCTCTCCTCTCTCTCTCTCTCCACACACACACACACACACACACACACACACACACACACACAACGTTCTCGCTCACCTCAGCACAGGCAAGCATTAAGAAGGCCCTAGAGAAAGTCAGATGACAGCCCTCTTCTAGAGTCCTCATGCAGGGGAGAGGGCTCAGCATGTGAAGCGCTGGGTGTACAGGAATGAGCACCCAAGCAGAGGCCAGACAGGATCAGGACTGGGGAGAAAATGGGTGCTCTCGGCTGCCGGCAGCTGCTCGAGCAGATCAAAGGAAAGTCAATGGCCATCCTCCGAGAGTTCCAGGCAAGTGCGAATTGTCTAGGACCCTATTTCATAATAAAAAAGCCTATGAGTCCCATAGCCTGTATAAAAGACCATCTATGAACCTGTAGCCCATAAAAACACAACCCCATATTCAAGCACGCAAAGAAAAGCAAAGAGCTATCCCTGTCCATCTGTAACTGTCCTTCTGTGACATTAGCAAATATTCACATCAACACATGGCAGTGATCACAGGAATCAGAACACACGTTTTGCAGCTGGGCAAGCTGAGGCTAGAAGTCTGGTTTTATTTTATTTTAACACAGGTGCTCACGTAGCCCAGGCTTGTATAGCTAAGGTTGACCTACATCTTTTTTTTTTTTTTTTTTAAAGATTTGTTTAGGGGCTGGAGAGATGGCTCAGAGGTTAAGAGCACTGGCTTTTCTTCCAGAGGTCCTGAGTTCAATTCCCAGGAACCACGTGGTGGCTCAGAACCATCTAGAATGAGATCTGGTGTCCTCTTCTGATGTCTGGGCACATGTGCAGTACAGAATACTGTATAAATAATAAATAAATAAATAAGTCTTTTTTAAAAATGTCCTCACGTACACCTACATGCCAGAAGAGGGCATCAGATCCCGGTGTAGACGGCTGTGAGCCACCATGTGGTTGCTAGGAATTGAATACACGACCTCTAAGAGCAGAGCAACCGCTGAGCCATCTCTCCAGCCTTTTTTTTTTTTTAAGATTAATTTTTTACGTGTGTGTGCGCAAGCGCGCCATGTATATAAGTGTGCCATTGTCGTGGGGGCCAGAAGAGGGCGTCGAATTCCCTGAAACTGGAGTTCTGGATAGGAGTCACTTAGTGGGTGGCGGGAACTGAACTCGGGTCTTCTGGAAGAGCTCTTATCGGCTGGGCTCCACCCTCGAGGCTGGGCGTCCCTGCGGAGCGCGTCTGGACCCTCGGCCTTCCTTTTAATCTGCTCGCGCGGCCTCCGGCAGCAGATTCCCCCCAGCACCCATGCTCTCCCCACTCCGGGTTTTGAGCATTTGCCCACCCCTCCAGCGACTGGGCGTCGCTAGGAACGATAGCCAATCAGGCCTCGGTGTGGGCGGGCCCAAGATGACTTCGCACCCCTGATTGGTCAGCGGCGCTCGGCAAATGGCGGAGGCGCTGCGGCGGGTGCTGAACGCCGGGCGCGGGGAGGACGGCGGCGCCGGGCCGCCACTGCTGCTGCTGGGCGCCCCGCGCTCCGCGCAGACGTCGCTGCTGTTCGCGGCCGCTCTCGAGGCGGCAGGGGAAGGCCGCGGGCCCGTGCTCTTCCTGACACGAAGGCCGCTCCAGAGCCTGCCGCTCAGCACACCCGCGGCGCGGGACCACTGGCGGCTCCAGGTACCCGGAGGGCCGGACTTGGCCGTGTGTCAAGCAATGGCGGGAGAGTCTGTGCGTGAGTGACAGTTCGGCTGGCCAATGGCGGCGCGGACCGTAGATTTACGCGGAGATCGTCGTATAGCCTCTGTGGAAGTGGTGGGTGGAAGAGGCAGAGTAGCCACGCGGGCCGGGACCGTGCGGTTTAGTTAAGATTGAACTAGAGAGCGTCCTGTGGTCGGGCTGTTAGCGAGCACGGGCGCCAACAAAACCACCACCACCACCACCACCACAGACAACAATAACAACACAAAAGACGGGCTGGGGCTCAATAGAGCACGCACCCAACCTGCGCGAAGCCCTGGGTTCCATCCCTTTAACCGGACTTCATAGTAACACGCCCGGGATGCGGGTCTCATGAGGTCAGTGGATCATCCTGGGCAACAAAACGAGTTTGCAGTCATCCTGGTTTATATGAGACCCTGTATCAAAGAAGAAAAATAATTTTTCCTTAAATAATTTTGATAAGTGCTGGAAAGGGGCAGGGGACAGGGGTGAAGAATATTTGAGCCGCTGTTTCATTCTGGAACTTCACGTACGGATGGAGCATGAGAGCCTCAGCCTGGAAAATACGGGAAAAGCGAGGCAGCCGTAATAGGGAGTCTTGGCCTCCTGTATTAAATCTGGCCTTTTCCTGTCTTCTAGAAGGTTCGATTCCAGTACCCGTCCTCACTTCAAGAGCTGCTCCAGCTGCTAGCCTCTGCCCACGAGGCCCCAGGGCCCTCTCCGTCCCTTGTGCTGCTGGATGGTCTGGAAGAGTACCTAACGGAAGGTCCGGGTGTCCAGGAAGTCGCCTACCTGGCTGCATTGCTTCTAGACACTGCCGCGTACTTCAGCCACCGTCTTGGGGCCAGTGGCGGCTGCGGGCTGGTGGTGGCCCTTGAGACCCAAAGAGAAGCAGACGGTGACGCCCCTCCTCTGACATTACTTCAGCGGTATTTTCCTGCACAGTGCTGGCTGCAGCCTGATGCCCTAGGTTCCGGACAGCACCGCTGCCTTCGGGCCAGCCTGGATTTGGACAAGCTGAGCCCCAGGACAGAGTGGTCAGTGACCTTCTTACCCGGCGGAGAGATGAAGATCGCTCCATTGCCAGCGCAAGCGTCTAAGCCCAGCTTGGATATGAAGGGCCCGACCACTGATGGGTGACAATCCCTTGGATGGAATACATCCTTCAGAGACAGGTGCAGACTCAGAGACCTGAAAGATGTAGGTTTTCTGGTTATCAGCTAGCATCGGCAGGGGCTGGTAAGATGGCTGACGCAGTAGGTGAGGGGCATTGACGACAAGCATGATGACCTCACCTTGATTCCTGGGACCAACGTGGTAGAGAGTTGGAACTGATTGCTTCAAGTTGCCTTCTGACTTCCACATTTGGGTAGAAGCATATGCCCTCCACACTAATAAGTAAATAAATAATAAAACTTTAAACATAAATAAATTAAATCCTCTCAGGCTTCCTTTGCTACTCACCATTGTTAATGAGATCCAAACATATTTCCTTCTACCTGCTGCATTTTTTTCCCCAAATAGGATCTCTTGTAGCTCAGGCTAGCCTCAAGGTAGAAACTTAGCTGAGGATGTTCTCGAACTCCTGATCCTCCAGGCTTATCTCTTGAGGGCAGAGCCTGTGGAGTGTGCTCCCATTCTTGGCTCCTCTTGCATATCCCATGGCTGTCTGTGTCTCAGTTACTTCAGTGTGTTGACTTACATCCTGTTGGGGGGGGGGCTGTAAGTCACGTGACCTTGTGCCTGTGCGTACAGCCGGGAGTGGAATCACTCCATAAGGAGTGGGCATATGTTTAGCTGTCTTAGGACATCCATTTTTTAAAGTCAATAAACTGAAGCTGAATGTGCTGATGTGCAAAATGGTAAGGCCAGTTTGGGGAGGTAGAGGTCAGAGGTCACAAGTGCAAGGTTGTCCTTGGCTACATCAGGTTTTAGAAGCCACTGTGGCTTACAGTAGACCCTGTCTCAGAAAACCGAGATGGGCCAGGTGTGGTGGCACAGGCCTTTAATCCTAGCACAGAGGCAGGTGGATCTGTGTGGATGTGTTTAAGGCCAGCCTGATCTACATGGCAAGTTCCAGGGCTACTTAGTGAGACCCTGTCTTGACAAACAAAAAACTAGGGAGCTGGAGAGAAGGCTCAGCGGATAAGAGATCACAGGGCCTGGGTTTGCAGCACCCACCTCAGGCACAAGCATTTGTAGCTACAGCTCTCCTGGGGATCTGGTGCCCAATTTTGGCTTCCTTGAGCCACCAGACATGAACTGGTGGATATGCATATATATATATATATATATATATATATATATATATATATATATATAAACAGAACACATATACACATGAAATATAAGTACATATATCTGAAAAAGCAAAACAGACCAAAGATGGTGTGAAGGGAGATAGACACCTCATCCTGCAATGAAAGCTCCTTAAGCTCAGGGTGTAAACAACTCAAAGACTTCAGGAAGTCCCTGAAACTCCTAAGTGAGCTGAGCTGCTTGGAACGGAAGCTCCAACCTGCTGAGCTGCTCAGGCTGTGCTCTGAGCTCCGGGTTCCCAGCTTTGTGAGCTGTCAGCCGTGCTGAGGTGGTCTTTGGTTATGTAGCTATTTGAGTCACTTCTACTCCCATATTCCCATACAGAACCCTAGTAAAACTCATTGATTCACCAAACTGGATTTTCGTGGTATGCGCCCCAGGGTGTGTTACGGGTTTTTGTCTGGCAGGTTGATGTTTGCTCACGTCACAGACGGGGAATGAGGCACTAAGTCAGAGCAGCCAGTGAAATGTACCCTGACCATTGTAGTCATCACATGGCCAGATCCAAAATTTCAGTCTTAGCTCAAAGACTTTAGCTGTTCGTTTCCATAGTCTAGATCCAGGGAAAGGTTAAGTCTGAGGCTATGGCAGAAGATGTGCTGTAGCTGAGTAGACAGAATGCCTCCCTAACATGTAAAAAGTTTACTGCCCAGTACCTGATAAGCTGGGTGTGGTAGAGCGTGCCTGAAGTCCCAGCCCTTGGGAGGTAGAGGCAGGAGCATCAGGAGGTCAAGGTTACCTTTGGCTATCTGTCTCAAACAACTAGTATATGTGCTAGCCAGAGACCTGTGAGGGAGAAAGCATTTCCCATGCAAACCTAAGGACATGGTTACTCATGAAAAAAAAAAAAAAAAAAAAAGCAAACGAAAAAACTGGTTTTGGTATAGTCTGCAGCCTTTGCAGCAGGCCGAAGGCAAGAAGAGAGGCAGACAGGAAAGACAAGCAGAAGCACACAGACAGCTAGCCCGGAACAGGAAGTATGGCAGGAACGGGGCACTCTGCTTGGAGGTGAGGGGAGAGAATCAACTTCCGTACATGAATCGAGGTGTACACGCACCCACATTCACACCATACACACGCACACAAAGAAAACAAAGTCACAGTAGAAAAATCGATACATATATTTCTATATACAGTCGTTGCAAGTCTTGTCGCTCCCTGGGCAAAGGGCCGAGGTCAGCAGTGACTTTAAGTATGGCCTCACCAATCCTGTTCAAGAAGTTGTGGGCTTAGAGTCCTAGGAGCAGGCCACGTAACTGCAGCGCAGAGGCTCTGGGTCTGAGACAAGGCTGTTCTCATAGGGGTGGGAGTAGGGGCCACCAGATGAGTCCCCATGGACTCCCTGGGAACCCCCGGAACTGTAATCTGTCGAGATACCCGAATCAGACACGAGGTACAGGTACTTCAGGTGAGGTGGAGTGGGAGGTGGCTCAGGAGGCAGTGCCCGTGGGCACAGGAGCTGAGAGCTGGGGTCTAGGATGGTATACTCGAAGCTGGAAGGCGAGGTGCCCTCTGGCCTGGGCTTTGAGGCCAAGTCGGAGGGGCAGGAGGACGTTTCTGAGCCTTCATCCAGAGTCGCTGGGTCCACACTGTCCCCAGACCCTGAGAGGTTCTCACCGCCTGGGCTCCGAGGCAGCAACCACTCATCCAGAACCAGGTAGGTGTCCTGGGCGTGCTCAGTGCCCACCGGCTCCAGGAAGGGTCCTTCGTCACCTGGCCCAGAGTCCCCAGCCTGTGTTGCTCCCCATGGGCGCTCTGAGAGGACTTCCAGGTGGGCAGGCGGGTCCTCGGGGAAGGCGCTGCTTGGGCTCCACCACAGACAGCCATCGTGCTGCAGCAGCCATAGCTAGAAGACAGGCCCGCCAGCTCAGAGGCCTGGCCTCTGCGGCAGCAGCACCCCCAGGAGCCGAGAGGACGAACAGGCCACCTACCTGGAAGTTACCCTTGTGGGTGGTGAAGAGACCCTCGAACTCGCTCTCTGGGCTTGGGATGCCAGGCCAGATCTTCTGCTGCAGAGTCCTGTTGACATGGGTAGAAACAAGTCCGTGGACGCATGATACCTACCCGTGTCCTCTCAGAGCCCCACCACAGTGATGCCGGCATTCCTGCGAGAATGGGAAACAGCCTGCGGGGAGGCATCAGCGAGGCCTAAGAGTAACTGGGATAGTTTTGAAGGGTGCACAGGGGTTCAGTGTGTGCTGCTTCACACCCCTTATCGGACTCCTTTTGAGTAGGGGCAGGGATCCCCAGAACCACCAAAACTGTGCGTGTGTGTGTTCCAACACAGTAAAGAAACAGGGCCATCGAAGGAAAATAGGTTGTGCACTTATGGAAAAGCAGGAAGGCCAAAACTTTGAGCCCACCGGGAATATAAGTATCTCAAGTGTGACTGGGCAGATCGTTAAAGCCAGTGGCTTAAATCTGTTCCATTAAACTTTCTGGTTGATTTGGCAAAGCTGACGGCATTGGGAAATGGAACCCACAAAGGAATGCAGGAAGAAGCCATCACCAAGGTCAAGGGAAGTCCAAGCAGGTGCCCAAGAGCCTGGCTGTGTGGTCCAACTTGCATTCTTAACAGTGACCGCAGGCTGCTCGCCTCTCTCTGAGCCTCGTCCCCCCCCACCCCCCGAGGCAAATCCCAGGGGACCACCTAAGTTAGAGCTCAGGTTGGGGGCTCACCGGCGGTGGGACAGCAGGGCCAGCACTGCCAGCAACAGCGAGATGAGGACGAGGATGAGAGACAGCGTCAGGATGAGAGGGTCCAGGTCTGGGAGGGCAGGAAGGAGGTCAGGGGGGGGTTGCCAGGTCTTCGCCCGGCTCCTCCTTCACCCCAGGAACTGGGGCCTCACCGCTCGCGGTCAGCAGCGACGCGGGCTCAGACCAGGCGCTCCAGAATCCGCTAAAGCTGGGCTCGGCCATGCGCGCTCGAACAGCGAAGGTGTAGCGCGTCCCGCCCCGCAGGTTGCTCAGGACACACTCGGTGCGTCCTTCCAGAACCTCCACCTGGGGGCCGGTGGAGCCAGGAAACAGCTAACCAGCTAGCACCGACTGAGAAGGGGGTCTGGGAGCTTGCAGGGAGGTATCTAGTCAGCACCGTCCTCGCAGGAAGGGTGTCTGGGGGCGCTCGGTAGCAAAGCCAACCAGAGCGAGGACGCCCAGAGTCAGGAGCTGGGCCTGGGCCATATAAAAGGCAGAGGCAGACACCACACAGAGACCATGGACCGGGCTGTGAAAGGGGCCCAGGCTCTGATGGGTTGCCCAGAGGCATGAGCAAGGCGGGGTTTGGGGGGACAGTGCGCTATCGTGAGCCCCAAAGATATGGGCCACGAAAGTCGTCCTTTAACCTCTACTGTAAGTGCACAGTGGCAAGCATGCCACACACAAATAAATAAATAAATTTTAATGTCTACGCGTCAGGAAAGAGAGCTATTAAAAATAGCGATGGAGGAGATGGCTCAGAGGTTAAGAGCACTGTTTGCTCTTCCAGAGGTCCTGAGTTCGAGTCCAATAGCGATGGGGGAGGGGCTGGAGAGGTGGCTCAGAGGTTAAGAGCACCCTCTGCTCTTCCAGAGGTCCTGAGTTCAATTCCCAGCAACAACATGGTGGCTCACAACCATCTATAGTGAGATCTGGTGCCCTCTGCTGGCCTTCAGGTGTACATGGAGGCAGAACATTGTACACATAATAAATAAATAAATCTAAAATAATAATAATAATAATAATAATAATAATAATAATAATAGAGGGTCCTGAAGGAGCGGGACTTTGGGTCAGGACGCAGGGAGGTTGGGCGGGGCTGTCCTCCCAGGCTCTCACCCTTTGCGTGCCCCCTGCCCGGTTGCCTGCCGACACGTCCACCTCGTAGCGGATGTGGGTGGTCATGGGTGCCCCGGGGGGTGGCAGCCAGCGCAGCACCACGTGGCTGCCCTCCTCCGCCCGGCGCGCCAGCAGCCCGGCGGGGGCGTCCAGGAGCACTGCAGAAGGAAATGGGTCCGGTAGGCGGGGACCCCATCCCGCCCCCGCCCGGACCGAGGGCGCTCCCCTGCCCTCTCACCTACCTACTTCATTGATATGGATGGTGCGATGGTAGCGAGGCGACCCCGAGGCCGCCGTCACGCGCAGCTCCAGCGGCACGAAGCTCGACGTGTCTGCGGTGGGCAGCGAGCACCAGAAGCGCACGGAGCCGCGGACGGTGGGCGCCTGGTGCAGGCGACATGACTTTCGTGACTCACCCCTGCGCAGCCGGGGCAACCGGGGAGGAAAGGTTGAACAAGTAGGGAGGGCAGGAGGTGACTGGAGAGTTCCCGACTCCCTTTACCCAGATGCCCACGACCAGCGCGTCCTAACTCCAACCTGACCCGAGTCTACTGATGGAGAGACATTATCCCAGCCCCGACCCCTAGAGGGCGCCCTCCACACCGCTTCTTTCCCTCCCCCTCCCTCTCACCCCAAGCTGTCCGACCTTAACCTTGACTGCAGGCCCGGGGAGACATTCCAGGCAATGACATCCAGGAAACTCTGCTGCACCCACCCCTGCCTAAGGCCGCCTCGTCCTGGGGGGACTCACTCAAGCTGGTAAGAGAACGTGTAGTTGAAGCCCATCCCGGAGCTCGCCGCTTCCTCCCAGAAACACACCAAGTCTTCCAAGCGCTGGGTGAAGCACAGCAGTTCTTCGGAGCCCCGGGATGCCAGCAGGGCCGCTGCGGAAAGGGGTGGCCGCGGCGGGGGAAGGGGAGGGTCAGGAGAGTCGAGGCCTGTCTTCCACAGTCCCCTCGCCCTCCCTCCGGTCGCCTGTGCAGACCCGATAATTTCGGTGCCCCGCCCTCTCCTCCCAGAGGGCCCTGGAGGGGTCTTGCAGAATCCCAAGAGTAGCGACCCCGCCCGCCTCGTTCCACCCCCAAGCGCACACCCACCCCCCCCTGCGAGTTGAGCGGTGCCGGCCCCGCCCTAGCGGGTGTGTGTGCAGGGGAATCGACTATCGGTCCCCGCAGGCACCCGGCTGCCCCTCGATAGCGCCAACCGTGTCCCCCGCCCCCTTCCTCCTCCTAGCAAGCCCCGGGCACCATCGGCGCGCCAAACTGTTTACAGCCGCGCGTTCTCCCGCAACCGGATCCACTTCACAGGGTCACTGAGCTTGATCGCCTCCCCCAGGAGCTCCGACCTAGAACTACCTAGCCGCTGCGATTTTTGCCGCGTCCCAGACTCCCTCAGAACACAAAACAGAGCTCATGTGCTGGCTCATGCCTGTCATCCCAGCAGCTGGGAGGTGGGGAGGCAGGAGATCGGGAGTTCAAGCCCAACTTCAGCTACATAGTGAGTTTGAGGGCAGCCTTGGCTACATGGATCCTGCCTCAGAAACAAAAACAGCACAGGCATAGTGACACATGCCTTTAATCCTAGCAGTTCAAGGCCAGCCTGGTAAGCCTAGTGAGATCCTGTTTCAAACAAACAATCTTCTAAGCCTTCTGCTTTGGGCGTCACTCCAGAGCCTAGACACTGACAGTCCTCATCAAGTTCAGACACCCCGTTTGGCCCCTAGGATCCCATCTGGAGGTTCCTCTGGGACCCAGGCTGGGGATTCAGGCCCTCGCACTCCCCTCCCCTTCTGAGACTTAATGAGGAAGTGCCAATGCACAGCTCTTACCTTTGCTCTCAAACTTGGAGTCCGGGAGGCTGGGTGAGGGCGCCCAGGCTGCCCCAGCGAGGAGGAGACAGAGGGGGCCAACTCGAGGCCAGAGGGGCACCCTGAGATGGTCCATGCTGTAGCCCCAGCTTCAGGAAGCCCGGAGCCCCAGCCCCTCCGTGCCCCCCACCCCACCTCCCCTTCCCTTTCCCCTTTCCCCCAGTCCACAGCTGGGTCAGCAGCAGCTGCCGGACACAGCTGACCAGGAGCTTCCAAGTAGCGGCTCCCTCCAGGGGGCGGGGCTGGCAAGCAGTCTGGGGACAGATAAGCTATAGGCCTCCAAGGGAACGGGGCCCTTTTGGGGCACAACCGGTGCCTAAACCAGTGTAGGGGGTGGGGCAGAAAGCAGGGTATGGTTTTGGGTGGGTTTGCTAACGTGACCATGGACAGGTGACTGTACCACCTGTGCATATATACATGTATGTATGTATGTATGTACCTACGTCTGTCTACCTGTCTGCCCATGTGTATACCAATAATTCATGTATGAACATATCCACACATGTACCTTTGTGTATATGTATCCAGATATTTATTTATCCATGTACGTGTGTGTCCATGCATGTATCTACCCATGTACATATGTATGTGTGTGTGTATACCTCCACCTATCTATTTTGGTAGAGCTGGGGATAAACTCAGGGCTTTCCACCTGCTAGGCAAGTGCTGCACCGAATTCAACTTTTTTTTTTTTTTTTTTAATACAGGAAGCTGGGGGCTGGAGAGATGGCTCAGAAGTTAAGCACATTCAATGCTCTTGCAGAGGTCCCGAGTTCAATTCCCAGCAATGGCATGGTGGCTCGTGACCATCCACAGTGAGATCTGGTGCCCTCTTCTGGCCTGCAGGCACGCGTGCAGGCAGAACACTTGTGCATATAATAAAAAAAAAAAAGAGTACAGGAAGCACAGGTCTGCAGTCCCAGCACTCAGGAGCCTGAGACAGGAGGATTGCCACAGTTCCAAGAGAGTCTGGGCTATCTGAGGTCAGGGCAGTTGAGATGGCTCAGCAGCCGAAGAACTTTTCTGCCAACCCAGAAGACCTAGGCTCAAATACTGGGAGAGTACGGTGAGAGAGCTGACTCCCAAAGTTGTCCTCTGACCTCCACACGTGCTCGAGACGTATGTACCTGAGCATGCTTTACAAATAGGCAATTCACATGCACAATTTTTATTTTAAAAGGCAATACATACATTCTTACACACACACACACACACACACACACACATACATGTAAGAATGTGCACGTGCCGGCATATACCTGTAATCCCAGTGCTTCAAGAGCTGAGGCCGAAGGGTTGCCACGAACTCAGTGACAGCCTGGGCCACACCTCAGGACCCTGTTGCAAAGTCAGTCAAATTAAAAGGCAGATGTCTGAGGCTGGGGAGATGGCTCCATGGTTAAGAACACTGGCTGCTCTGGCAGAGGACCCAGGCTGGATTCCCAGCACACACATGATGCCTCACAACTGTCTGTAACTCCAGATCTGGGGAGAAACAACACTCTCTTCCAGCCCCTGTGGGCACCGAACACATATGGACATACAGGCAAAAAACGTGCAAGCACATAAAACAAGAACATCAAAAGACAGTTATCAGTGTAACTCTCTTCCTCAGAAAAAGGGCTTTTGGGGTGTTCGTATAGACCCTAAACATTCTTTTTGGAGACGTTATGGTTAAGTATCAAAGGCTCAAGCTCACAGGGATCTCCCTACTTCTGTTCCTCTTCCCCTGCCCACAAGCTGTGACGACAGGCACGTGCCACCATGGAAATGGGTGCTGGGGAGCGCTCTCAGGAGCTAGCACAAATGAGGTGATGCCACACATCCAAAAGGTGTTAAGGAGCCAGTGTTCATGAAAGAAAGAAGCCTGGGCTGGAGGGATGGCTCAGCATAAGAGCACCCACTGCTCTGGGGAGGACCGTGGTTTGATGGCCAGCACCCGTTTGGTGGCTCACAACTTGTCTGTAGCCCCAGTTCCGCCCTCACATATAAAATAGATACAAATAAATAATTTAAAACACGGCTGGGCGTGGTGGCTTACAACTTTCATCCCAGCACTCGGGAGGCAGAGGCAGGTGGATCTCTGTGAGTTCCAGGCCAGCCTGGTCTACAGAGTCCAGGACAGCCAAAGCTACACAGGGAAGGAGGAGCAAGTGAACTCTTGAGCAACTTCACTCTTCCTGACTTCCATATGTGGCCTATGTGGCACATCCCCCCCCCCAATAAAATATAAAATTTTAAATGTTCAAAAGCATTGCACTACTATAACTCGTCTATCAGACCTTCTATGATGCTTCTCTTTCCCTCTGCGTGGCCTGCCATACATGCCACTGAGACAATGTTCAGAACAGTAGAAATGGCTTTCATCCTCCCTCACCAGAATTCTCTGTCTTCCTCCTAACAGCCCTCAAATTTACCTGGAATCCACATCCCCTCCCAAACTCTGCCCTAGGATCTGAAGTTCCTACGCCAGTTCCAGAGTTGGGTGTAGAATCTGGCCCTGGCCAGTCAGCAGGGACTGACTGGTCCAGGCATGATCCAAGTTCGGCCAGTGGAGCCCATTCTGGGACTTCAGCTGGGGCAAACCGGAGAGAGCCCGGGATGTGAGATGGAAGGGGCCGTTGCTGCCTGTGAGGCATGAAACTTTGCAGCCTGGGGAAGTGGCACATGCTTGTGACCCCAGCACTTGAGAGGTAGATCAGGAGGGCGCACTTGGCTACATAGCAAGCTTGGGGCCACTGTGCCCTAAGTAAGATTTTTGACTGAAAACAACAAAACCAAACTAAAAGGAAACAGTGGCCGAGGAGAAGGGTCAGTGGGTGAAGTATTTGCTGTGCAAGCCTGGGGAGCCCAGTTCAGATCCCCAGCGCCCACGTGAAAGGCAGGATGAGGGGTTCCTGCATGTGATCCCACTGCCAGACAGTCTAGCTGAGTGGGTGAATACCAAGTTCAGGGAAGGGCCCTGTCTCAAAAAATAAGGTGGAGAGGAATTAATGAAGTCATGAAGACTCCTCTGCATATACATGTACGTAACACACACACACACACCACACACAATCATAATAATGTTCTTTTTGTTGTTGTTTGCTTTTGTTTGTTTTTTCAAGACAGGGTTTCTCTGTGTAGCCCTGGCACTCCTTGAACTCACTCTGTAGAGCAGTCTGGCCTCAGACTCAGAGATCTGTCTGCCTCTGCCTCCCGAGTGCTAGGATTAAAGGCACATGCCACCACTTACAGAAATAAGAATGTCCCTTTGGTTACTATAAAAACAACAACAACGGAAGGAAGAGATAGCAATTTATTTCTGACATAACTCTCCAGGTCTCAGCAGTCTCCATAGCAGCTATTTGTCTCCAGGGGCCCAGGCGCCTTCCCACTTGTTGCTCAGCTATTTAGAGTATGTGACCACCCAACCGTACTGGTTAGCTCATGCCTTCATTCTAACCAGCAGAAACCAGGAAAAGTGGAAAGGGAGGACTCACCCCTTCCCTTTAAGAGTAGTCCTAGAGTCTTAGGTGGTGATACATGCTTTCATCCCAGCACTTGGGAGGCAGAGGCAGATGGATCACTGTTCAAGGCCAGCCTGGTCTACAGAGTGAATTCCAAAGACAACCAGGGCTACACAGAGAAACTGTTTAAAAAAAAAAAAAAAAAAGTAGCCAACTTGGAACCGGCCAGCTTGACCAAGAATTAATCATGTGGCCATACTCGCTACAGGAGAGTTACACTTATGCAAAGCAGCTTTTATCTTTTCATTGTAGCTCAGTGGTAGAGCACTTGCCTATCATGCACGAGGCCCTGGGTTTGACCCCTAACACAGGACGAGTGTTCATGGTTTGATGCAGGGTCTCTTATGTCACTCAGGTCAGCCTTAAACCACCTCAGCTTGAGCCTCCTGAGCGCTGGCATGACAAGCTCACTTGTGGCTTTTCCTTTGAGTGGCTCCATTCGAAGAGGAGGTGAGTGAATCTGAGCGAAAACAGTCTTGTTATCAAAGCAATAAAACCCTGAAGCCTCTGTTGGCGCTCCGGATCCAGCTGCACCTCAGGCCAGACCTGCTGATCTTTTCAGGTGAGATCAAGCATACGGCTGTAGACCTTATTGGACTTTTCTCTTTTTTTAAAAAAATAATTAAAAAATATTTATTTTTGTTCTTTTGTGTGTGTGTGTGTGTGTATCTATGCACCACACGTGTGCCTAGTGGTGAGCCTCTGTGTGGGAGTAGAAAAAACAGGCGCTGTTGACCAAGAGCCAACTCTCCAGCCCCTCACTGGATGGCTTGGTACAGGAGACGGCATCTCTTTTTGGCATGGGCCTACTTCTACAGGATGTGTGTTCGTACTTTATGTGCACGAGGAGGCCAGAGGTTGACAGCAGGTGTCCCTCACTCTCACTTATTACTATTCTGTGTGCCTATGAGCATGTCTGGATTACATGTCTTGGTGCACATATGTAGGTCAAAACTGGGAAGTCAGTTTTCTCCTTCTGCCTTTCCACGGAACCTGGGGAGTTGAACTCCGCTAGCCAGGCTTGTCCGGCACGCACTGAGCTCCTCAGGATTGTTATTTGAGATGGAGTCTTATGCTGAACTGACTTGATGGTGGACCCTGGGACCTGTCTCCAACCCCCGGAGCTGGGATTTTAGATGTACTCCCATCACGCCTGGCTTTTTATGTGGGTGCTGAGGGACGGGAGTTGAGGTCCTCATGCTTGCTGAGCAAACACTTTGCCCTCAGAGCCACAGTGCAGGCCCCTGGAAACAGAACTCTGTGAGCTGCAGAGGCCCCATGAAGGGCCAGTTCAAAACGGAGGCTCAGAAGCCAGCTGCCTCCGCACTCGCTCAGTCTATGCTGTCTCTCTTTGCTTTTCGTCCCTCCCACCACACACACACCACAGGGAATGATGTACCCCTGGCCTGGAACTCACTACAGCTGAAATGACCATGAACTCAAGATCCCTCAGCCTCCACCTCCCCAGGGCTGAGGTGACAGGCACACTCCCACTGCCTGTATTCTCAGGAGAGAGCCAGCTCCTCCTTCTTCCCATTTCCTCACTCCTGACAGAAAAGCAGGGCAGCACCTCCTAAACGGAGGCGGCGAACAACCTGAGCCTGGTTATGACCTTTCCAACCTTTCCTTGGGTTCTGTCTGATTGTTTTTGAATGGAATCTCATGACGTAGCCCAGGTTTGCCTTGAACTCACTATGTAGCCAAGGATGAGGAAGTCCTGATCCTTCTGATTCCTTGGGATTATGGGTACTGAAGCCTTGCCTGCCATGGGTTAGGATCTGAACTGCACCTTCTAGTCCAAAACCCCTTAGGAGCTTTATTCTGGGGAGTGCAGAGAAGCCATCCAGGGTCCAGGGCATGCTGGGAAAGAGCTTCTAGCAAAGCTCCCAGCTCTTAGGGCTCTTGGGTTTTCCTAGTTTTATACTCTTCTCATACACTCATGTTTTTGAAACAATGGTCAAGTGCCCAGGGAATCAGAGAGGTGGGTCCAATGGCTTCATGTTGGGGGGTTCCCGGGATAGAGAGCAAAATGTCTTCATTGGGAGATGGAGGCTCTCCAGGAAATAGGCCCCTACTTTGATGGTGGTAGCAGCCAGGTTCCAATCTGTGTGCTGCATCTGTGCCCCAGAATGAGGAGGGCAGTGCTTCAGGTTGGGGGGGCAGAGGGTGTGTGCCGTGTCCCCTCTTTCCGACCTTTCCGACGCAGCAAGAAGTCACCAGGGGCAGCTGGGCTCATCGCATAGAAGACATTGGCACTGTCCGGAATTAGGAGCTCTGCACGGAAATAGGGACAAGGGGTGACCTGCAAATTCTGGGGGCTTCTCTGGCCACCTTCTATCATTTGGATGGCTTCTCCCACACCCCAGCCTCTCCCACACCACTTTCCAGGCAAGCTCAGAGTGCTGTGACAATAATTGAGATGACCTCCGCCGGCCTTCCACTTCCAGCCTGATAAGCTACAGGCTTTCACAGCCAACATGTGGGGAGGGGAGGGGGTTGAGTGGGGACGTCTCCACAGCTTTGGGCATTTGAATGCTTGGTCCCCCATTGGTGGCATGTCTGGGGAGGCTTAGGGGATATGGCTCTGTTGGAAAAACTGCATCCCTGGGGTGGGCTTTGAAAGCTTAGAGACATGCGCCATCTTCAAGTTCAGACTCTCTGCTCTGGGCTTGGCATTCACGATGAGAGATGTCAGTATCAGCGTTCAACATCAGTCATGGGTTCTTACCCGCTGGAAACACGAGCCCAGATAAACTTCCTTCTATAGGATGCCTTGGTCATGGTGTTTATCAGAGCAACAGAAAAGTAACTAACATATGTGTGTATGTATATACAAATGGATATTTACATGCATAACACACACACACACACACACGCATGTGTGTGGACATCCAACCTAACTTACACATTGTGAGTACCCTACCACTGAGCTACAGCCCCAGCCCCTTCTCTGAGGTGCTGACCTTTAATGTGTAAGGTAAAGCCTATCACAGAGCTACATGCCCAGGCCTCTTCTTTTGCTTTGTTTTGTTGTTTTTGTTTTTTGAGACAGGGTCTCTCTGTACAGCCTTGGCTATCCTGGAACTCACTCTGTAGACCAGGCTGGCCTTGAACTGAGATCTGCCTGCCTCTGCCTCTCTAGCTCTTCACTCAAAGGCGTGCACCACCGCCATCTGGCTTCTTTTTTTTCTTGTGAGTTTTGTTGTTATCGCTTTTTGTGATGGAGTCTTCCATAGCATAGGCTGGCTTCCTACTCTCTGTGGAGGTGAGGATGACCTTGAACTCCCGTTTCTAGCTCCTGAGTGCTGGGGTTGTAGGTGTCACCAGCAGACCTGGCTTGTGTGCTGGGAGGAAGTCAGGATTCCCGGATGTCAGCAGAGCTCTCCAGCAGCCGCATCACTCCCAACCTCCTTGTCGTCTTTTGAAACAGGGTCTTACTGAGTTGACCTAGAACTCTCTCTGAAGCGCAGGATGGCCTGTGGCTCATGGCACCCCTTTGGCCTCACTCTCCCAAAGGCTGGGGTTACATGTGTGAGTCACCCCAGCTGCTCTAGGTGGGCTTTGAACTGAGCTCCTCCTGCCCAGCCTCTTGAGTGGTTAGGATCACAGTCCGTGTCACCGTTCCCAACTGCCCACAGCTGGTTTTTTTTCTCTCTCTCTCTTTGAGACTAGGTCTCACTAAACTGTTCAGACTAGCCTCCTAGATGGTGGGATTACAGACCCTGCCCCTCCGAGCTCAACCTCTCATCCACTCTTTTGTATGTGGCTGTGCCTGTCAGTGTTCAGGCAGCTTTGAGGTTGTAATGCTTCCGAGAAAAACCTTCAGCGCTGCTCCTCAGGACCCCACGACTGTTTCCAGTTGCTTTTTTTTTTTTGAGACATGGCCCCTTAATGGCCTGGAACCTGTCGGGTAGATTGGCTAGCCAGTGAGCAACGATCCTCCCATCTGCACACCCAGCTGCATTCCACAGGTTCCTGGAAATCCAACCCAGGTCCTGCTGAATCCAAGAGCTTTTGGCCCTGTCCCAACGCAAGCTCAGGTAACTCCAGGGCCTTCACGATGAGCCAAACACACGCCTTCCCTCTTGCAGGCCCTTCAGTCTCCTGCTCTGTCAGGCTGAGCCTGAACAAACACAAACACTACAAGCTCTCTGCATCTCCGTTTCCCATCTGAGCCTAGACAGTGTCCCTGCCTGACTCCCGTGAAGACCTTCTGACCTCATACGGTGAGGAGACAGACCTTGTATGCACTTTATGGTACCTCAGCACTCTGCCTGAATTGACTTGTGGCCCTGCTGGTCCAGGTCAAGCTGGGCTCAGTGATGGGGGCTGTTGGTTGGAACGTGATAAGCACTGGAAGGACCCCAGAGACAAGCTCGGGCCAATTACCTGGACTAGGATACCGGAGGCATAGGACCCGCCCGAAATATGTTGGCATTACCCACTGGGCTGAGGTCCCGCACGGTTTGCTGAAGAACACAGGGAGGACCTGTGAGACGGCTCAGTTCGTAAAAGAGCTTGCTGCCGTGCCTGATGACCTGAATTTGATGTCTGGAGCCCACGGGGCAGAAGGAGAGAATAAGCCCCCTCAAGCTGTTGTCTGAGCCTGGCTGTCCTGGAACTCTCTCTGTGGATCAGGTGGCCTCAAATTCAGAGATGGCATGCCCCTGCCTCTCCAGTGCTGGGATTAAAGGCCTGCACTATTACCACCTGCCCCACTCAGGGTGTTAAAAAAAGTTTTTAAGAGCTAGAGCACTGTGCAGCATCAGCAGCCCTCTCCCTCTGCCTCTGTGCTCTCCCTGCCATAATGGACGGACGGCAGCCCTGGGACCACGAGCTAAGATAAACCCTTCTTCTCGTCAGCTGCTTTTTGTCACAGCCCCACTGGCCCCAAGCCCAGCTCAGGCTGCAAGCTGTCCCTGCTTACCTCTGTCCCCAGGTAGGACCTGGAAGAGCTGGTAGTCACGGGCCCAGGGCTGGGGCACATTGTGCTTCTCCAGGGCTCTCTGCACCACGCTGGGGGCTTTGTCCTGGCAAGTGAGCTGGAAAAGGACAGGAAATGACCCGTGGGATGGCTCAGCAGGTAAAGGTTGCTCTAAGCCTGAAAACCTGAGTTCAATCCCTAGCACGGGCCTGGAGAGAGGAAAGAACCAGCTCCTGCAGGCTGCCATTTGACCTACACTTTACACACTACATAAATGTAATTAGAAAAAAAAGTTAAGGGCTGGAGAGATGGCTTAGAGCTTAAGAGCACTGTCTGCTCTTCCAGAGGTCCTGAGTTCAGTTCCTAGAAACCACATGGTGGCTCACAATAATCTACAATGGGATCTGGTGCCCTCTTCTGGTGTGAAGGTGTACACACAGGCATTGTATACATAATAAATAAATAAATTAAAAGAAAAAGAAAAAGTTAAAGAGGGACAGGTGTTAAAGGGACAGGGTCCGGTGTTGGAGGAACCCTGGTGGAGGTTGTGGTTCTCCTAGTCTGGATAGCCACTCTGAGCTCAGTGTTAAAGTGGAGGCCTCCCTCTTTCCAGCTCTCTGCCTGACTTCATCTGGAGAGTGTCTTTAGACACAGACGCCCCTAGCCACATTTGATATATGGCTCCTCTTTTGCTTTGTTTTTCAGACAGGGTTTCTCTATGTATCCCTGGTTATCCTGTAACTCACTCTGTAGACCAGGCTGGCCTGGAACTCAGAGATCCACCTGCCTCTGCCTCCCACGTGCGCCGCCACCGCCCAATTTACATTGCTGGTTCTAAGAGCATAATGGGATTGCTCTGGCTCCCACTGCCCAGTTCTGGGGGAGCCAGCTCCCTGCTAGCTCTCCCCTCACTGCGCCTATAGGATAATTAGGGACTGTGTTCCTGTTCATGTGATAGGAGCATGCTGTTTAATGCAAATCAAGCACCCTTGAAGTGCCTAGTTTCAACCAATCAGGTACACCTATTCTTGGAGCCCCCACCCACCCACTCCTCAAAGGTATATAGCTTTTATTCTCTGGAATTAGAGTTGGACCAGCTCCCGGAAGTGGTTCCCGGGGCTGTGCGATCCCTGCACAGTTCTCGCCGGCAATTCAGGCACACTTCCCGTCTCTTGCCCCTCCTGACTTGGTGGGCTGCAGGGAGACAGCCCCCAGACAGGAGGAGGCCCAACGGTCCCAGATCTAAGGACAAGGCTGTCTCCTCCCAGCCCCTCACCAAGATGCTCCGATACAGGTTGCCATGGTTATTGTCGATGCTGACTCGGATGACGCGGGCCTCTGAGGTCTGCTGCCCGAGGAGGGGAATTCGAGAGCTGCTCAGGGTCAAGGCCCCTGGTGGGTCCGCGTTCAGAGGCAGCTGGAAGGCAGTACGGGGTGGTGGAGGCCACAGCCTTGCTCACCTGTGTGAGGAGGGCCACAAGGCCCCTCCCCCACCGTCCTCAGTCAGTGCTCACCCGGAGTGCTCACACCCCTTTCCTCTCACATGAGAGGCTGGGGAACCACACACTTAGGGTACACAGGCAAGGCTGTGTGACATCCCACCACACGCAGACTACAGTCCTCTGTTACAGACACGAAGGGACACGTGACCCACACACACAACGCCGAGTTCACAGCAGGATCCTGAGTGGACGGCACATAGAGCACACAGAGGCGTGCTCGCTCACACAGGTGTGCTCTCTCACACACAGGCGTGCTCTCTCACACACAGGCGTGCTCTCTCACACACACAGGCGTGCTCACAGTCAAAAGCCACAGCGCCCCATTAGGGAGCGATCTCGCACAGTCCTGTGGATGCGCGGACCGGCTCCCCTCACAGATGCAGGCAGACAAGTCTGTGGACAAGCATGTTTTTCAAGAAGTGACTGTTGGGGTTGGTGGCCCAGAACTGTCCTCCCACTGGAGAGGCTGAGGTTGGAGGACTGCAAAGTCAAAGCTAGCCGGGGCAAACTTAGTGACACCCTGTCTCCAGACGGTATGGGCCTGGGGCACGGCTCAGTGGTAACGCCCTTGTTAGACCCTAGGTTCAATCCAGCACTTTTATTTCTTTCTTTATTTTTGGTTGGCTTTTGTCATTGTTGTTGGGCATGATGTCAACATCATGTTGGGCATGAGCTCATTATATAGTTAAGGATGGCTTTGAACCTCTGATCCTCTTGCCTCCATCTCCAAGTCGTGGGAGCCAACCACACTTGGCTGGAGTATTGATTATTGGGGGGGGGAGAAAAGGAGTGGGGATCACACCCGGTGTGCCCTACAGATAGATGGAAATCATGGAGACAGATGGTCTCCCAGATAAAGCGGCAGAGAGCACCTACCGGCAGTGCTGTACACACACACACACACACACACACAACCCTGGGTGCCCGTCCTCAGCACAATCACAGATTATCTTGGTACCTTGGTGCTGGGGCCGTGCGGCCCTGGGGAGGCTGGAGGACTGCCAGGAGGAGGATCTCGGTCTCTGGGACTGGATGGTGGGGACCCCGGGGACACACTGGCGAAAACACAGCAGTCAGGTGGGGCGGCGGGCCTGACTTTTGTCCCCTCGGCCCTGGCCACTCACCTGGAGGTGGGTGAGGACGGGTCCCCGGGACTCCCACCGGGGGATGAGCTCTTCTCCCGGGACAGCTTCCTAGGGTGAGGACAAGGGACGGCTGAACTGAGAAGGGGAGCCGCCCAGCCTCCACCCACGCGGCCCTCTGCACACACCCCCACACTCACGCACTAAGGCGCTTCGTGAGGCTGATCCGCCGCCGGATGCGCGGGGAGCTGGGGCAGGAGGCCGCTGGTGGCTCGATGACACGGGAGACCCGGTAGCTGGAGGGGTTCAGCGTGTGAGGGGTGTGAGGGGCAGCAAGCGGAGGGACGAAGACGGAAGAGTTAGAATGAGTTTGAGTCGAGTCTGGGGTGGGGAGGGAAGGACTAGAGCCCTGAGTGGAGGTCGGGATAGAAAGGGGAGTCAGTGGGGTCTCAGGGTGCATTACAGACGCGGACTGTTACCCACAGGGAGACTACTGACGGGTATGGTCACACACAGCGCTTGCTAGAACCCCCCAGTCAGCGGCTGGCTCAGTGGCTCTCAGCCCCTGACCGGCTGAGGCGCTAGCACTGCAAACGATAAACAAAACAGAAGCTGCAGGCGGAGGCCGGAGAGCCGAACCGGCCACCTTTAAGGTCCAGGGCCAGGTAATTCAGGGCCTCAACAGTTAAGGCCGCGCACTGGATGGAGTGGGAGGAAACAACAGGGCCGATTGGCCGAACGGACGTGAAAGCTAGCGCCAATTTTTCAGACCAGTAGTTAGTGGCCAGGGCCACAGATTTGGATGACGGGCTCAGGGCGGGCAGGGCCTTCAAGTCGAATGGCTGACTGGACAGGAAGGGTTGAAATCAGAGTGTAGGGTGCGTTCAGGTTTTGGGTGGGAGCTGGGTGGTGGCCTTCAGGCGGGAGGAAATAAAGGATGGGGAGGGCTGTCCTCAGGATGGGGTCTGGGAAGCTTCTGGGGGAAGGTGGGGGAGGGGGTCGAAGGCGTGGCCGGCATCTGGTGGAGCGGTCACCTCTGCTCCTCGCTGAGCTGGCGCTGGGCTCGAAGGGCAGCCAGGATGGCAGGGCGGGGGCTCAGGCTGTAGTGCCGGCAGCGTTGCTGTAGCTGCTGGATTCGGGCCAGGATCTCCCACTCCTGAGGGGGCAGCTACTACTGAGACCCCGCCCCGCCCCGCCTCCACCCTCGGGCCGCCCACTCTCAAGCCCCAAACCCGCCCGCTTACCTTCCTTCTCTTTTCAAAGTTGATGAGATTTCCCTGAGGGGGCAAAGCTGGCCTGAGCCGAGTTCAAAAGCTGGGATGGCAAGAGCCGCCGTGGCGTGTTGGGGGTGGCGGTGGGGGAGGGGGAGGTATGAGTGCGAGGCAAGATCAGAGATGGATATCTGGAGGACTGCCGTGTTAGGGGTAATAGAGCAGGCGTCGGAAGCCAAGGGTAAGAAGCCAAACCTTCAACGTATCCGGTAAGGCTGTATCCAGCATAACCAAGTCCGTGAGAAAGGTGCCAAGGTAGGGGACAGGACCCGGGGGCAGTTTCTGAAACCCCCAAAGTTCAGTCACTCATGGGCCCCACTGACCCCCTTGCCGTTCCCCAAGAGTCCCCCTGGCCACCCCGTCCCCATCCTGAACCCTATCACTTACTGCTGGCAGGCTCCCTGCTGGGCGGTCATCATCTTGTGGTCCCTCAGCGGCCTCCTCCTGAAAGGAGGGGAAAGGCCCACTTTGACATTTCTCACGGAGGCTTTGACACCCGCAACCCTGGTTGCCTTCAACAATCACAAGCCCGGGGCTCAGTGGGTGACAGGGCTGACAGCCTGAGTGTCACCTCTGAGACCCACCCTGAGAGAGCCAGTCGGAGCACACTGTGGTGAGCGCCCTCCCACGCGCACACACACAAAGAAGTGTAATTTAGTGCTTGTTTTTTAAAATCACAAGCCAGGCCTTGTTACCCCAGCACGACAGATAGAGGCAGGAAGAGCAGGCGCTCAAGGTCATCCTTATCTACAGGAGACCCAGCCTTAAAACAAAAGAACAGAGTTGAGTTGTTAACGCCAAACAGGTTGTGGAGTCACCCTGGGGTCAGTGAAACCCGGAAGTCAGGGAATGACCTTGAGTAGGAGGCTGCCGCTAGAGTGGATGGGAAGAAAATGTTTGTCCCAGCCTTCTTAGAACTGGCTGCCTGGGACTCTCTGCAAGGACCCTGAGCTCATTTCTGAGCACTGTTCAGACAGCAAAACAGTCTGTTCTGTCCCCATCTGGGCTGTCCCAATGGGGTCAGAGATGTGTTTGGTTCTCGGTGGGTCAGAAACAACGCTAGGCACACAGTAGGTTTGCTTTTAGTCCCTCAAAGCCTCCTTATTTGAGATACACTTTCACTAGGACGGTTTTCTTGTTTTTGTTTTGGGTGGTGGTGGTATGCAGTACCTCAGAAGGCCAGAGGAGGGACATCAGATCTCCAAGTGCTTAGACACAGATGGTTCTGGGCCGTGGAGCCCAGGTACCAAACTGGGGTCTTCCCAAAGACTGCAAGTGCTCTTGACCTCTGACCACCTCTCTGGTCCCCTTGGTTTTTGTTTTGGGACAAGGTCCCACTGTAGCCCAGGCTGGTTGGACACTTGTGACCCTCCTCTTTCTGTCCCTGAGTGCCATGCTGACAGATGAGAGCACCTACCTTGCCTAGCCATTAACAAGACAGGCTTTTCCCTTTTTCTCTTCTCTTTCTTTCATCAGTTTGTTTTGTTTTGGTTTTGAGTCAGGGTCTCATGTAGGCCAGGCTGACCTTAAAGTCTCTTTGTAGCATAGAATGACTTTGAACTCTTTATCTAACTGCCTTTACCTCCTAAGTGCTAGGATGACAGGTACAGGCGACCTCACCCATTTTATTGTTTTTTCCAAAAAAGGGTTTCTCTGTGTAGCCCTGGCTGTCCTGGAACTCACTTGTAGACCAGGCTGGCCTCAGACTTAGAGCTCCACCTGCCTCTGCCTCCAGAGTGCTGGGATTAAAGGTGTGTGCCACCACTGCTCAGTCCAACCCCAACCATTGAATACAGTGCTGGAGATGGAACTCAGGGCTTCATCTTGTTATGCAAGTGTCTGCCAACTGAACCCCAGCCCCAGCTCCACGGGGTGTTTATTGAATACCTACTGTGCTGTCATGCGCTGTTTTGGGTGCTAACTAGCCAGGGGTGACCACACGAGACAAGATGTCTGACCATTAGTGAAGGAAAGATGAGATAGCCAAGATAACTCCTAGCAAGGAAAGGCAGAGACAAGGGCCATCGGGTAGGCAACGGGACTGTGGAGACGCTGCTGGCTGCTGCTGAGGGCCTCTCGAAGGTGAAGACATTTGGAAGAGATCTGCAGGTGGTGACTGGCACAGCTCATGCCTATCTTGAGGGGTATAGAATGCTCCGAGCCCAGAAATCAGGCTCCATGGGTGTCTACACAGAATTCACTCGGAGGACGAGCACCTGATTCTAACCAGCTCCTGACTCCTACGACGGTAAGTCAGATATGTGTGGCCCACATTGGAAAATCCTGCCTCTCAAGGCAACTCCCGGGACATGGTTTCTTCCCCCCTCCCCCCGCTTGGCTAAGACTGTAACCCTTTCCTCTGAGCTTCCTGCATTTCACTGAATGAATAAGTAAGGCCGATGGTGAGTAAGAGAGAGAACAAGCCGGAAAAAGAAGCACGGAGCCGGCTGTGAACGAGATCACCAAGATGCTTCCCCAACATTGCTTCCAAGTCCCCCTAGCCCTAGCTGGCCAGGAACCTGCAATGTGGACCAGGTTGGGTTTGAACTTACAGAGACTCACCTGCCTCAGCCTCCCAAGTGCTGAGATTAAACTGTGTAACCTTGCCCTGGTTTTGTTTGTCTGACTGCTTTGAGACAAAGTCTCTCGTAGTTCAGGATAGACTTGAGCTCACTATCCTCTACCTCCCAAGAGCAGGGATTAGGGGCTACACCACCACGCCTGATTCATGTGTGCTTCGTGCATGTGACTAAGCTGCGTTCCCAGCCCCTGTGTGTGCGTGCGTGCGTGTGCATGTGTGTGTGTGTGTGTGTGTGTGTTAGGACCAAGGTCAACATTGAGCACCCTGAGGCTGGAGAGATGGCGCAGTGGCTAAGAGCCCTTGCTCTTGGAGGCGATCTGGGTTTGGTTCCCAGCATCCACCTTCATGACCATTTATAACTCCAGGTCTAGGGCATCTGATGCTCTCTTTTGATCTCATGCCTGCACATGGTGCACACATACATGGAGGCAAAGTCATACACATTCAACAAATAACAAATATCAAGCATCTCCTACATTGATCTCTTGTGTATGCTTTGAGCTAGGATCCCTTGCTTAACCTGAAGCTTGATGCTTTTGGCTAGGTTGCCTGCCTATCAGCCCCGGCCCGCCTCTCTGCCTCCCTCAGCGCTGGGGTCACAGGGGGTTCCCATCCAGCTTTTACAGGGGTACTGGCTTCTGAGCACACTCTGCAGACGGAGCCACCTCCCTAGCTCCATACTTTTTGGCTATTTCTGAGACAGGGTATCATACAGTTCAGGCTGGTCTTGTGTAGCCCTAGCTAGCCTGCAACTTGCTGTGTGGGCCAGGCTGACCTCTAACTCATAGTGATCCTCCTGCCTCAGCCTTCCAAGTGTTGGGGTTTACAAGCCTGAGCCACCGCCCCTGACTCTCTTGAATTTGGGGTACCCAATACCTGGGAAAGAATCACCCGGCTGCTGAGATGGTTGCTCTCATCAGAAAAAATCTGCGACAGTTTCCTGAAAGTAGACAGTGGCTCCCTGCGGGGGCGAGAGGGGCAGGATCAGGGTCAGAAGAGGAGACCGCCAGAGCCAGGACAGGGCATACTACGGAGGCCACCGACTCACCGGCTCACCGCTCCCCAGCTGCGCTTCAGCCTGTAGATGGGGTTAGACTGCAGGGCGGACAGGATGGCTCGCAAGGAGGAGAAATTGCGGAGTTCCCTGCAGCGCTGGGGGTGAGGGGTGAGGCTCTGTCAGCCGCCACACTCTGCGGCTGTCTCCCAGGCACAGCTCCTTTGATACTGTGACTTTGTATCTTGTTTGGTTTTTAACAGAATGAGGTCTGGTTACAGAGACAGCCAAGGCTGCTCTCAAACTCTCCGGCCTCCACCTCCCCCCGGGATTACAGGCATGTGCCACTAAACCGGGCCTGCGGTTGGACTCCAGGTCTCACCAGTCAAGTAACTAAGCGTGTAAACTGAGACGCCCCGGTTTTTGTTTGTTTGTTTCCAGGAGCCTCCTCTTCCCCCCCCCCCCGCCCCTCTTTTCCCCTCTCCAGGCTGAACCTGGCTTCCGCCATCCATCCCTACTCTCTACTTGTCCTTAGTGCCTCACTTCCTACACACCTACAGGGCCCCTCAGCTTCTCACCTGGACCCAGGATCTCTTCCGGAGTTCTCCAGGGCCACGGCCTTCCCTACCCTACACACACCTGACACTCTCGATCTGTTTCTCTTTCCTTTCTCCCCACTGCATTCCTAGTCACACACCCACTTCTGTTCTCCGGTCCTCATCCTCTCCCAGTCTCACCCGGGCCCCATCCCCGACGCACACCTGGGCGATGCGGATCCACTTTTCGATGCGCTGTGCCCTCTGCGAGGCCGCCAGGCCGGGTGCCGCGAGCACGGAGCCCAGCACGCAGCCGGTCACCGCGTTGAACTGGGCCACGGTGGCGCGCACTGTCGGAGAGATGCCTGCAGCTCCTGGCCGGTCGCGCTGGGACCACAGGGAACCCAGGCATTCGCAGGACCGCACGCGCAAGAAGAGCTCCTGGGTAGGAGCAGAGGAGGCTCGGATGGGTGCTCATCATGCAGGCCTCCCCCCTCCCTTCCCACCCTGCCGGCGGCTGGGGTTCCCACCACGTCCATAAGGGTCAGCTGCTCCGCCACCTCATCCACACTGAAGTCCAGGAGCTCTGGGCCTTCTGAACAGGGGCCTTCCTCTTCCGAGCAGTCCTCCGAGAGCTCTGCTCTGGGGGACTGGGCAGCCCTAGGAGGGCCTGAGGAATAGATAAAAGTTTTTAAAACTCACATTTGAGCGGAAAGGATGGCTCAGCACTTAGTTACCAGCATTTGCTGCTCTTCCAAAGGTCCAGCACCCTCCTGGCAGCTAAGGACTCTCTGTACCTCCGTTCTCAGGAGATACAGTGCCCTCTTCTGGCCTCCGTGGGTATCGTGCACACATGTGATGCACTGACCTAGATGCCGGTAAAACACCCAAACACATACACACATAAAATAAAAGCAAATGAAGACAGAGCGAGGAAGGAAGGAAGGGAGGAAGGAGGAAGGAGGAAGGGAGGGAGGGAGGGAGGGAGACAGACAGGGAGGGAGGGAAAGGAGGGAGGGAGGAAGGGAGGAAGGAAGGCAGAAAAAGAAAAAAAACCCTCAAATTTGACCAGGCATGCTGAGGCCAGCCTTCGATCCCAGCACTTGGGAGGCTGGCAAGTGGTGTTCTTGTGAATTCTAGGCCAGCTAGGGCTACAGAGTGAGACATTGTTTCAAAAAAAACCCAATGAGCCCACCCCCATACATACACAAGAAACAAGTCTTAAATTTCTCCAGGGGCAAGTGGCTATGTAGCGAGTGCTTCCCCTACCTGCCCCACCCCTTCAGTCCCAAGGGAGTCTAGGTCAGCCTGTGTGACCCTAGGCAAGTGCCTCTGTGTCTCTGGGCCTCACTTCCTTATCTGGGAACACACTAGGTGGTTGTTGTTTTCTTTTGTCTTACATTTATTTATTAATTTTATTTATTATTTATTAACTTATTTATTTATTAATTATTTTATAATTTTTAATTATGGGTCTGCAAGCACCACGGTTTGTGTATGGTGGCCAGAGGGCAGTGGGAGTTGGTTCTCTCCTTCCTTCCTGTGAGTTCTAAGAATCTAACTCAAGTTTGACAGCAGGTGCTTTTACCTGACAAAGCCATCTCAGCATCCCACTCTGTGTAGATTTTGTTGTTAGTTTTGTTTTGCTTTGAAAAGGGCTTTGGGGGCTAGAGAGATGGTTCAGCAATGAAGAGCAGTGGCGGCTCTTCTGAAAGTCCTCAGTTCAATTCCCAGCAACCACATGGTGGCTCACAACCATCTATAATGAGATCTGGCGCCCTCTTCTGGCATGCAGGGGTAGATGCAGACAGAACGCTATGATAGATAGATAGATAGATAGATAGATAGATAGATAGATAGATAGATAGATAGATAGATAGATAGATAGA